GACGCATTTACGTTATAAGAATATCTCTTTATATAGGTCGCGGAGACATAGCACTATATATTATTATCACATTGCATAAGACTCGACGCTCTATAATTATGAGTATAAACTTATAACAGTGTATTCGCTGAATGAAGAGGCGTTAAGTCGTCGCCGAACCGTGATCGAACTCTATTCTACGTTATGTTCCTTGTTCCTTTATTAAGAAATCGATGCATTGGAAATCGCTCTATCGCAATCTATCAACTCTGTACTTGATTTTAAATAACATAACATTTTGCTGGAGAGAATTCTTTCATGATCACGCAATTAAGTAAAATTCGTCTTGAATATTATTAATGAGTTTTCGCGCGTCTCGATCACATTAAAATTCAATTTAGATTATGTCATTACAACTTTCACCTTCAATTATACATGTAAAAATGCTTGTGAAAAAGCGAGAAAGAAATTATGGAATCAAAAATTAATTATTAATATTATATCTGACTAATGATTGAATTCATATTTTATGAAATAGAAACTTAATATCAATATATTGTTTAATTAACGGGAAACTGTCGAATCACATTTTCAGATTAAAAAATATAGATATAATTAAAATTAGATATTAAACATTTTCCTACCCGAATATTTCACGGAGATAATAAGCACATATAATGCGTATTAATTATCGCTCATTCTTCAGCTTGTATTTGATTTCTAATATACTTCTTTTCCGAATTGTTAATAAACTGAAATACAATTTTACCTAATATGATTTCTTAATACTAAACAATTCATCAATTTTATTGCGCTTTAATAAAATCTGAAATCTGCCAATAAATCTATACAAGTATATATTTATAGTTTTCCAATCGGATGGAATTCACACTTGAGAGAGAGAGAGAGAGAGAGAGAGAGAGAGAGAGAGAGAGAGAGAAAGAGAGGAAAAAGGTAACGAGGAAAGAACGAGAGAGACAAAGGGAGTGCGCGAGAGTTTATATTTTCGAATAAACCGCAGCCGCGGCAGAACGCGAAAGCTCGATGAGGGGAAATGCAGCGTGCGGCTCGCATAATGTAACACACAAGTACAGAGAGAGCGAATCGATCTGTACGTACGCTCGCGCGAGCGCGAGCGCTCGCGCGAATGCAACCGGTTTCCCAGGTTCATTATACCGCGGAGCCGCGCATCTCCTTTCCCGACAAGTGTGCGCCGTGTTGCGCGACCACACCGACGACGGTAGTCCCGCCGCGAAGTTACTTACGCCCGGACTTCATCCCTTTCTCGTAAACGTCTTCGCCGCGTCTCTCTTCGTCCCGCCACCGCGCCGTGGTCCACCTCGATCAGGAAACGCGCAGTCGTTGCGCCGATCGTGGAAATAAGTCATCGAACCGCCACGGTTCACGATCGGCTGCGCCGATACCAGCGCGCTGCTTACCATCCTGGGAACGCGGGATAACATGTGTCTAAGATGGCAATAGTTGTCTTCTTTTCGTTTTCTTTTAGACGTCGATACGTCGATAAATAGAGAGTCGAAAGTGCATATAGAAGCCCACACTGTTAAATTCATTATGTCAAATTATATTTATTAATTTTACTTATTTTTACTTCGAATTATTTTTAATTATTTCTATTCATGGAAAGGACGATTTTGCTAAAGTTATCTAAAAATTTAGCAGAGCTAGACACAGAACTGAAAATAATTTTGTTAAATTGTCAAAATAATTGTATAAGACAGCTAAAAGTTTTTATTAGCATTGCTTGAGTTTCCTGCATAATTATTTTGATGGTCCAGCGTAATTTTTCAAATCTGTATCTACCTAAATTTTTAGACGCTTCAAAATCGACACTTCTTTTCGTGCATAGAACGCTATTGCGTCTACTTAATTATCGTTAATTTAACTATATGCAAAGAACAATTTTGTTGGATTATTAAAATAATTATGTAAGAGACGTTCAAACTAGTTGCTAGAGAATGTCAGAACTTACTACAATATTACTCATTATATTTGAAAGTCTTACATAATTATTTTTTAATCCAACAGAATTACTTTCAGATCTGTATCTAGCTAATTATTTTTATTATACGTCAATTAAATCGTTTTTTCCGTGTGAAACACCGAAGTTAAAAACTTAATTCAAGAAAATGTATCAAATTAAATTTACTATTTATTAAGTGTAGTGAAAAATGTAAAAAAGCCCATCAGAGCCTACATCAGCTATTCGGATGCACACAAATTCTTTATTTTTCGTGTGAATGTAACAAAACAAATAAAATATATGTTTCAACCCTTCAATTCAAACATCTACCTGTTTGGCCCACATATGATGCTTCACAATCTCGACGATCAATCTTATATACCCACGTCTGTATGAGATAACTTTAGACGAACGTCTTTATGATCCCCGATGAACCCCCTAATACTCGGACTGTGCGTTAATTATGTAATTTCGATTTATATTTTATATTGACAAGGATTGAAATGTATATTTTATTTATCTTGTTACATTCAGACGAAAAATAAAGAATTTTTGTGCATCCGAATAGCTGATGTAGGCTCTGATGGGCTTTTTTACATTTTTCACTGATAGATTCTTTCGAGCCTCATTATATATATCTGTTTTATTAAGTGCATACACATTAATAGGGTTGTTGTTTAAAACCAACTATAAAAATAGATTGATTTTACATTTCGACTCACATGAAAGTATAACAAAATGTTACTTAATTCAAAGGATTAGATTACCATTACTTCTTTAATATCTGACAGTGTATTTCTATCAATATGTGGATTAACTTTAATCATGGTTTAATTTATCCTCTTTATCATTAAATTTCATCCTCACATCTCAAACTGCTAATATGATGTATGTTTACGAGGAAATCGGATACTTAGGCATACTTTTAATATTTAATATTCATACGCAATTGACATCTTGGCTCTGCGATCTATTCCGTATTGCAACGTTCGACTCAGCCCATGTTTACATAACAATGAATCATGGACTCGTATGTCTCAGGTCATTGTAACAAACATAAGGAAAATTATTGTTTGTAAAATTGCGATGTACCTCGCATGATTTGTATTCATTTAATGTTAATTAAGATTGCGTTTATATAGATTTTTTTTTATGATGACTGAAGATGACTAAGTAAGTCAAAACGTCCTATCTCTTTATATTATAATATTAAAAGTTACTATTAAATATACATGTTGCTTGTTTATAGGCCTTTCTTTTTATAATTATTTATCTTTTTATAATTTTTTTAGAAACTTGTATAAATACTCGAAGAAAGATATTTGGTTAAATTAACTAGAATTTTGGTTAAATCTGTATACTAGAATTGTAGTAGATTTAATCAGAATTCTAGTTAATTCAATCAAACATTTTTCTCCGTACAGATAAAAAGTTAAATTGAGATTAATCTACATTAATAAAAATTAATCGATATTAATATAAATGGACAGCAGTCGAATTCTGAGCTGAAGATCGTTATAATTAAAAATTTCGTAAACGTATTTTTGTCTCATTTGCGCTTAGAGATTTAGATCAAATATTGTGTTTTGCGCATCCGAAAGTATCTATTAAACAGTTAAATATGAGAATTTTGAGACAAAATAAAAATTGCAGCATCTTAGCAACAGCCACCTCTCAATCCTTAAAGAATGTCGAGCAGAACGTACGGTTGGCGAATAAGATTAACGAGATTAGTTCACCACTGCTGTCACGAAATAGAGTGTCACGAAGCAGAGTGTTCAAGCTGGCCTTATCAAAATCTCTCTTTCAAAGACGATTTTGCTCACAAATATCTTTTCCAAACTGAAGTTACTTAAGCGATTGAACGTTGCCCAAAGCAATTCAATGTTTCTTGCCATCTTTATGGCTCGCAAACTTTCCTCGTGGATCACTAATGCGTCTTTTGTCGTCGTTGACACCCTCGACGGATATCTGTCGCACTTCCCTTGGGACGTGCTTGTCTAAGAGAGCCAGCGGACAAAGTGCCGGTGCAAATTCTGTTTTAGTAGCGGGCCTAAGAAAAGAAAGAGAGCCCGTTGGTTCGTACGTTCGTTCGGCTCTCTCGGCACTTTTCGGTCAATGAACCGCGTGTTGCTGGCGAACCCAGTTGGTCCACTCGCGCGGCGCGCAAACCCCCCACTGCCAACTTGCCGCGTCCCGCGATTTAACCCCCCACTGCAGAGTCACGGCGGCGATCACGTCAGATCGGTCGGTCCACGTTTTATCCCGTACCGGATAGACGCGATCCTCCACGACACGGCTCACCTCCGGCTTCCCTCGATCTCGCTGATCGCTCCCCCTTCGTCCCCCCGCCCGCAGCTGCAACCCCTTCCATCCTCGAGAGACTCACGGTACGTACTCACCTCCGACCCGTTCGCTTAATTCTTTTCGTCCCCTCTCCCCCCCCCTCCGTCCACCCTCCTGGTATTCCCCTTTGCTTCCCTTCTCCCTCATCGCCACCTCCAACCACCTCCTTACTCCTCTTCGGAGGTACCACCTCCCCCTCACTCTTTCTCTTTCTCTCCCTTCTTGACTCTCCTCTCTCCTCGCCCTTTCCACCATCCCTTCTCCGTCGCGCAATGTCGTAACATGTACGACGGAACGCCGGCTTTACTTACCTCACAGGTGAGCGCTCTCGGCTGTATCAGGGAGAGGACGAAGGAGTCGC